AAAAAAAAAAAAAAAAAAAAAAAAAAAAAAAAAAAAAGGTCAGATTTCAGAAGAAAACTAGGATACTTGTTTCATTAAGCAAGAAGAATCTGTTTCAGCGTGAAAGGGAAGAAATGAATCTAGAGGTGATATGCTTTATTTTCCTCACAAGCTAATTGTGGGACGAGCAGCTTAAACATATATGTGCATATTAAAGTTTTCCCAAAATTGAACATATTCCTGAGACAAGATGTTCAACTCATTAAGGAGAACACTGGCTCTCTTTTCTATCCCCACCCTTATATGCAGGAGAAGTCAAGTTTGTTCACTTGTCTTCTCAGTGGGGAATCACAAGGCTCTCAGTGAGCTACAGAAAGTCCCAGTGGTTTCTAGCGCTCATCACACCTCAGAGGGTTAACAATTTGCATCCACTCTTGTGAAATAGCCTGCAGCCTCCCACTACTAACATTCATGATATTTCTTGATGTCTCTAGAATTCTTCTGCCTTCCTCAAACCTGAAAGCATTGCTCTTTAATGTATATTGTGACAAAGAAGGGTGTTTTTGAAAGAAGAAACCATACCGGCGGTCTGACACTTGCTCCTTCCCAGTCATCAAACTCTCACCATTTAAGACAGAAACCTGATGAAACTATCAGCATGCATAATGGTATCATAAGCAGGGTCTGGACTGTAAGACAAGTATCAAGAATTTTACAATTACAAACCATTAACCCAGACACAGCAGCAGCACGAGATGACCCAGGCTGCTTACCGGAACCACTGCAAGCGCTCACATCTTGGAGCAGGACTCCTTCGAGGACCTCGAGCCACATCCCGCCAGCACCGTCATAGCTCTGCTCCAACCAAGTGTGAACAATCTTTTGACTACTCTTTTAGTGTTTGCTAGTAAACTGGCACCATCTTCTGGAGCGGTATGCCAACTGTATGCAAAGCTAGAGCAAGCTCAGTTCAAATTTGCTGGGGATTCCCTTCCACCTTAATGGGACACTTTGGAGATCTTCACTAAGGTCAGCACACAAGTTGCTGCATTCTAGATCAGCACAGGCGTGGCAGAAAAGTCTGCTAGAAATGTCCCTAACAGCACTCTTGCAGTCAACACTTCCCCCAACACAAGCACTTGGGGTTGAGAGTCAAGTGACTTCCACGCCTTCTCCCTATCAGCCTACTAAGAAAGGCAATCATATTTGCTGGCAGGTACGGTTTGGTCCAGACCACTTGAACAGGCAAACAAAAGGATCAAAGCAAACTTACGATAGAGCCCAATGTTATGATGCAGGTTTCTCTCCGGTAGAGACTACTTTCCAGCTTCCAGCTTCCAGGTTACACCTCTTCTTGCTCACATGGCAGTTTCCTGCTGCCAACGCTTGGGCTGATTAGGAATTGTGAAAAATATCCAAGTCTCCCCAGCCGGCCAGATGCTGCATCTGTATCCTTTAACTAGGTGCAGGCATTGCTCACAGCCACCCAGGGTAGAGAAGCAGCAGCCCAAGAGTAAGACGCACCTAGTGGCTGACTCTGCTTACCTGGTAAGCAACCTGTGCGAGGAGGAGGCCCCTGATAAAGAAACAGGCAGAGACTGCAGAACTCTTCATTTACCGGGCAGCTGTCAACTTGCTGAGCAGGGAGACCCTCCTAACGTCTCTAGAAGAAACAGCCACACAGAAGTCATGGGGAAGACTGACAAACGCATTAGCTTTTTGCCTAGCCATGTACACGAACCTTCCTCGGAAGACCATGCCGCAATTCTCGATCAGCTGGCTAATACTGTTTCTTAAGCTCCCCCAGGGTCTTCAAGCACAACAGCTGCGGAGCCAAGGGAGAAACAGTTCTGTGCGTTTTATATACTGCTAGGGCCTTTAGCTGCCTCAATCTACCCCCACCCCCAAAACCATGATATTATTCATGATACCAGGAATGTAAACAGAAATGTAGGGTGTCCGTGTGCTGCATTCAACGGTAGCAGTGCTAACTCGAAGCTACTCGCCTCACTTCACATACTCAGGAATGTTAAATGGACTGGCCATCAGTACAACAGCCGGTTGCCAGGCGCACACACACACACACACACACACACACACACACTTTTAAACAGGTTCTTTAAAGGATCAGGTTCTAGAAATCAATGTCGAGGTTCAGGAGATCCAAATGCACTGCTCTGCACACGAGTTATGTGGCTTTCCTGCCTCCCTTTTCCTACTGCAGCCCCTTGAGGATCAGAGGACCCGGAATGGTGCAGTAGGCAGGTGGCTGGGTTGGAAGAGGGGAGACACATCGGCAACATGATCTAGTCCTGACTGCATGCAAGTCACTTGGGATCCAAGCTCACATTTGTAAGAATAGGAAACTTCTGCAGAACAGGAAAACATATGCTGCTGGTTGAAGCCAGCTATCAACATACATTTGCAAGGATCAGAAACGCATCCGGCCTTCCAAAGCCATAACTCTGTAGCAGCTCTGCATCAGCTGGGTTACTGAAGTGAGGCCAAGTTCTTGTTACCAGAAACATTAGGATATGCACCAAGGTCCACAGAGTAAGAGAAAGTGGCTAAGGATGAATGACTGAGCTCAACAGAAACTGCATATGCAGAATACATCAGCAAAACAACTACACCCCGCATCTAACTGAGCCCCTTAAATGAGCTCTCTGAATGGCAATGGAGCCTAGTGATTTTGTGGGTCCAAAAGTTAGCTTGGCTCCTCCTGCAGTCAGAGTTCGGCTCAGAATGGTAAGGGTTGCTTTGGAGAGGCGGCCTCCTCAACTGCTCATAGTGTCCTTGAAACCCCAGGCCTCCATGATGGCTATTTGGAAGCTTTCAGAGCACAGTGGCTGGTTGTTGAAAGTGTTGCAGTGGCTAGTTCTTCCATGGTTTAGGTCTGCGTCAATGTAGAGCGCCTGACCATCGCCGCCTCCTGCAACGAAAAGACCAGCGTTACGCACCTGCCGTGGACCAACGTGCCAGCAAAGCAAAGACTCCAACCTTGTGTTTGGATGGATTAGTTCTGTTGACTCAGGATGGTCATTTTGTCTGCGTATTGGTGAAAACGCAGGAGAAGTCGCTATGTACATTACTCTCCAGTTCCCTCAGGGAATTGCTGTGGAGTGTGAGTTCATGAATGCGTCAGAATCCATCAAGTGCATAATACATTCAATTAGGGCAGCTTTCAGAAGAGTTTATAGTCAAGGCACACCCATTCTTCACCCATTCTCAGTGTGGAAGTACATATAGGAACTACTACACAATATTCAGCCAAGGTATCGAGTATGAAATAGCTGCTTTTTATAGCAGTGCTTTAAGGATTTGAACAGCAGCTTGAGTTGCTTCTTACTGGGCAATGCAGAATTCTGTTTCTTCTCCACACAGATGGAGCTAACTGTCAGGAGCTTTCTTTTTCAAAACAAAGCCCCCCAAGCCCTCACTCTGATCAGAGTGAATCAAAGCAGAGGTTTTATGATCTTGTAGCAGATGAAGGATCTGCTTGCCCTGGAAGAAATCAGCAGGGGATGCTGGAGCGAGTGGCACAGGAGAAAGCCCTTGCCAGGTGCCAAACAAATGCGTCTCTGTGGCCAAAGGCCTCTCCCGAAGATCTTATTCTTCAGAGCAGGACAATCATGAGACTGGCGGCCCTTTAGAGAGCCAGGTCCTAAGCCATTTTGAGCTTTAAGAGTTAAAACTAACACCACAGGGAAGCAACCGATGAATAGCACAGGGCTTTCAAATAATGTCTAACGTGGTCCCGCTGTATAGCTGCTGCATTTTCTACCAATTGTAGCTTCTGGACACTTCTCAAGAAAAGCCCCATGCAGAGGGCATTGCATGAGTCTAAATGTGGGGTCATCAAATTTGCAAAAAGCTGTATGACTATAGCAGCACAGTTTTACTGAGAGTGCAGTCAAGCATATTCTGACAGGATTTGTCTATCTCTTAGATTTATATCCTGCTTTTTCCTTACACCAAACTCAAAGCAGCTTACATCATTCTCCTGCTCTCCATCTTATCCCCACAACAACCCTGTGAGGTAGACTGGGGTGAGGGTCTGTGACCCAAAATCTCCCATTTGGCCCCATGGCTGAGTGGAGACTAACTAGAACCCTGGTTGCCTGAGTCCCAGTCTCATGCCCTTAACCACTGCACCACAAGGGTTCTCTGCAAGGGAGCTTTGGCATATTCTGCATGTTAACCTCCCTGCACCAAAAACAAGGAAACCAAACAAAGTTCTATGCGAGATGCCTGTCTCTATCAGCAAGTTAGTTTTAGAAATCGTTGGCACTGCGAGCCTAAACTTTGCATGATACCACATAGAAGCATTTTGCCAGCTCATTTTTCATTTTGACGTTTATGTTAAGGTGACTTAAGTCAAATCACACATGGAAGGGGAAAAGCATGTAGTTTACATGCATCCACGAGAACTATGCCAATACACTCATTTCCCTTTCTAGAACCATGAAGAGTAACAAGCAGAGCACAGTTACCTATGATGATACATTCAACGTCACCAGCCATGAACATGGATGCGGCTTTGGAAGGCAGGTTGAAGTGCCGGGCAGAAAGGAAGGGGGAAAGACGATCTGAAGGATCAGAGGGGAGGCTGGTGGAGGATGGCGGGTCCGATATCTTGGAAGAATTGTTTCCTTGTTCTGATCCAGTCAGAGCGAGTTCTGGGTGCTTTATTATCACCCACTCATAACGTTCCACTTCAGGCACCAGCTGCAGAGAGAAGCGAATTCAGCAGGAAATTCACTGAAGACAACAAGCTTCACTTGTGGGTTCTCCTTCCATTGTGAGATAGGAGTAGTAGCACATATGAAGAAGGGAAGTTCTATTTGTACCCTGATGTTTAGAAAACTCAGACCAGCTTTCATGCTGGTCCTCAGGCAGGTGTAGGTTATTATGTATTATTTCAGTTCTATACCACTCTGTTGTTGAAGCTCTTCAGGATTTCTATAACCATCCAATATCTAAAGCTTCATGAGTGGTTGATCAGGTTACTGGTTGTACAGTATTTCAGATTGCTCGGCAGGCAATATACAGGGTTATTTTTCTAGGAAGCAAAGACATATGTATTTGTTGAGAAAAGCTGTATTTCTCACCTATACTGCTTCAGAGTCTTGTAAAGAACAGTGATTCTACTCAAAGACCCCCACTTTAAAAGGCAAGGATTTCTCCATTAAAAGAATCTTTGCCATGATACTTTCTTTTTCTTCATTTTGACACGTCAGTTTTGATAGCTCACCAGCAATGTGTGAGCTCCAGCACTAGACTATGTGCCTTGGTCTTTTGTCCCAAGTTTTTAAATTTAAAATGTCTACGCATCCTAGTCTGGGAAATGGCAGGTTGTTCACCTGCAACTGTTGTTCTTCGAGTGGTCATGTGTGATGCACAGAGACCACAACGAAGAACAATACAATGAACACAGCTGCAGAGAACTGTGGTATGCAGTGAATAAAAAGCAAATCGAGTTGTTTGGATTTTTAGGTAGTCCCAGCAAAGTTATTATACTGCTACTACTTCTGGGTTTTTTAGTGCATGGCAACCTGAAATTTTTGTCAGTCAAGTATCTCAGTGCATCACAGAACAGCTTTTAAAACCAGGAAAAACAACTGTAAGCAGGAGGCAAAAGGGATCTGGACAACTTGAAAGAGACCCACAAATGGGATGGGGAGAAAAGAAAAAAGAACAGTTCTCAGGGAACCTAAAAAAGAAAGTCTGATAAATTGACAGATCAGTACAGAAGAAGACTCCTCTCATGGATCTAATCAAGATATGGTCAGGAAAACACCAGCAAAAGCATGTGCTTTCAAGATCCGTGATTCACATCCATAAAGCTAATAACAATTCTTAGGATGCCAAACAAGAATACCCTTGTAATGGCACCCACTGACAACCATAAAGTGACCTTTATGACCTATAAAGCCCTCAACAGCTTGGGACCTGGGTATCTAAAGGAACGCTTGCGTCCATATATGCCCTCCCGCCCCTTGAGATCAGCAACAGATGCCCTTCTCCGGGAACCCTCTGTGAATGATATTGGGAGGGCGAGTACCCAGAGGAGGGCTTTCTCTGCGGTGGCGCCCCATCTATGGAATGCGCTCCTCAGAGAGGTCCGCCTGGCACTGTCATTATTTGTTTTTCGGTGCCAAGCTAAGACCTTTTTATTTAAAACTTATTTTAAGTGTTAAATTATTTGTATTTATAGGATTTTAAATTTTTAGCTGAGATACACCAGAGGTTTTTAAATAATTTTTATTGTTATATTGTTATTTATTTATGTATTTTGTTTCTGTTGTGAGCTGCCCCGAGGCTTCGTTACGATGGAGGCGGCATAAAAATGTTTTAAATAAATAAATAAACAAACCACAATTTAGGGATGCATCTAAGTACTGGATCAGAACCTTATTCAAGAGCTCTGGTCCTGTAACTGACCAGTTACGAAGCTGCTTTCCTCACGAGAGTGACAGAGAGGGAGAGAGTGCATGCAAGCAAGCAAGCAACCACAACTGCTTCTTACTCGGAACACAAAGCATTCTCCTGTCCCAAAGAAACTCAGCTTGTTTCCTCCTCGTCTGCGTTCACTCCAGTCAGTTGATAAATAAGCACCACAGACCTAGGATGGGAAACAGTTACTGTTTTAGGAAAAATTCATCTTAATCCATTTAATTCTGTTTCACTGCTGAATGTTCTCAAAACGGGTAGATTAAGGACATTTCACTATATATTTTTAAGTATGCACTAAACATGAAATGTAATAAGCATCCATGCACCCTGCAGGTAAATTTGTCAGGGAGGTGCGCGTTGCTGCAGCTTCCTGCTCAGCGAACGCCCTCCCTGCCAGGAAGGTCTGCTGCCGCCGCTCCACCACCTCCAGCCCTTGGTTTGGAAAACCCCACCAGCCGCTCTCTCACTGTGACATTTGCTGCTGCAGGACAGCAGCCAGTGGAGTCCTTCAGGGCAGCTGCCCATCCTGCCTCCCACGCTGCATGGGCCGCTCTTCCTTGCTTCTGCTGTTGCTGAAGTGGCTTTGTAGGGAGCTGCCTGGCCAGGAGAAGGAACTGCAGGGTCCTTCCAGGACCTGGACAAGTTCTCATGAAAGCCCAGCAGCCACTTCCTCTAGCAGGGGTGCAATGTGGAGGGGCAGGTGTTCTCTCACCTGAGGTGCTAGGACTGATTTTCTCCAACACCTCAAGTCCTAAAGGCAGAAGGAGGGACTATGAAAAACAAATAGCTGTGACATATATTTTGTCAAAATATATATTGACAAAAGAAATGCCATCAAGGACAAATGAGTTAGCGGACACCAGGAAAAAGTTACGTACGACAAAGAACGTTAAATTGCGAAATACATGACTATAACAGGAATTTCTAAGGCGCTGTTTGTTTCTTTTGCCTGTGGGAGCTACAGTAATGTGACAGCCACCAGTTTAGTTAATCCTATGACATTTAGTCCTATAAAACCAGTGCTAGTCATCCTACCAACTTACCTCTTGAGTGGTGGTCTTAATGAGAAGTAGAGTTGGTTCATGTCCCTCACAATGTGAATAGAACCTGATACAAATATAAAAGATGCCTTCTTAGTGAAGCACAACCTTGTTTGCCTCAGCACTTTCCACAAGAGGGTTTTTTTCATCCCCATCTTCTTCTTTTCATTTCTATGCCTGTCAAGTGTCAGCCCACACACTTCTGCTTTGGAGAGTCACAAGGACTAAGGGATACCGGACCCATGAAGCTTAAGTTCCTGAACAGTTTCCCATTTGTTTGAAACAACTTAGTGCACTTATACATGATCCCAAAATAAACTGTGGCTTACCCTTTGCCTCTGCTTCAAGATGCACAACAATTTTCCCCAGGTGAAACCACTGTTTTCATGCAATGCTTTTTAATAGGTGATGACCCCAGATGTCAATTAGAAAATAAGGAACAGGGTGCGTGGGCTCGAACTAAGCTTTTGGCCATGCGAGTCATCACTCCTACGGGTTGTGGTAAGTATGTTCTAAAATAAGGCTGGGAAGACATATGCTTTGCAGGATCTACTCTGTGTTTCGCTAGATTCCGGAGGTCCAGCAGCATGAGTCAGATGGACAACCGTGGCTCAGCAAGGTCTCTCTGAGCACATGCTCAGAGCAGAGACAGGAACTTGCCCACAAATGCTTGCTATTCTAATTGCTGCTACTGCAGCTTTTCCAAAAGGGACAGACTGGCTTTTCCTGCAATAGCTGGCATGACCTTTTTGTGTAAAGTCTACCCCTCAGTTACACCTCTCTTGCTACACGGTGGACCAACAAGGCTAAAGAAGGCACAGCACTATATGACATCGCCCCCCCCCCCCCCAATTTGTTTAAAATCATCTACACAAAACCTTACTCTAGGGAATGTTTTTGAGGACCAGAGAGGCAATCCTACCACTTCAGGACAGAGGTGCTGGTAATACAGAACTCGCAACAGCTGGAATATTACTGATTTGCTTGAATGCCTGTTAACTGCTTCACCTAAGAGGCACCTAGAAGATCAAGTCAAGGACGCAGTGCAGATCTATATCAGGAGAGCTAGTAGCCACTTCTGCATCGGCACAGCCTTAGCAGCTGAGAGCGGGCGTTGTGTCAGTGTGAAGCAGCACCAGGACATGGTGATTGTACCCGTGCTGCTTCCAATTTATTTCCCCCATGTGGTGTCCCAAGACTAACTTGGCCTCTCCACATAGAATATTTTATAGACCAGCCCTATGATGCTTCCAGAGAAGAGTAGTGAGTTTATCAAATAAAAAGTTCTTGCAGGGAAATGGAAATAATTTGCAGTCAAGTCCATTTCCTTTGACTAACTGTTTGCAGGCTAAGTAAAGGTACATTTACATGCACCTTTTCAAACAGAATGAGATTGTGCTAGGCAGCAGTAATTTCAGTCACAAAGCTTGTTATTTTAGCACATGTAGGTGCAAGACAACAAGAATAGTTTACTCTTCTTCTACACTGCCTGAACTATAATTAGTCACATTTGGAGATCTCAAAAGCCTGCACATTAGGTAGCCTTTGAGCTGGCCTAATAAAAGAATTCCACAAATATGGATTTGGGAATTCTTTGTATGGCCGACATGGCAACCTTTGCTTTTTCATGCATCAGATATTGCTGTATTAAGGTACTGGTGTGTTTGAAAAGCTGTGTGGAAGCACACAGAGAGAGATAGCATCTTCTGGTCTGATAGAACAATTTTTCTCCACAGTGAATAGGCCTGTTGGGCATTGTCAAAGCTTCTCCACGCTTAGCAGCACATTTAATCCTCCAAGTGAAACCAATCATTTTCTAACGACATACACAGGAGTCATTATAGATGTTTCTTAAGGAAGAGCAGACTGATGTGCCCTGGCACCAACGCTGCCACTGGCACACTGCGGATATACAAATGCAGCCACTGGCAAGGCAGCTCTCAGGCAAGTGGGCAGTGCATCAGACGTAAGATGAACCCACAGCACAGCGCCTTCACTACCACCCTAAGCCTAAGCCTTTTTAGAATTTAAGTCAGAACTATTAACCTGCTTAGGCTGCAGCCATGCTCTGAGGTGGTGAAAAGCAAGAGTGGCTGGCACAGTGCAAAGCGTTCCGGAATCCATGACCAGATGTCTCTCATCTTCTTGACGTCGACAATTTCAGATTTGAAGTTCTCAGCATGAACAGCCAAATGGACGTTTTGTCTGCAGAACAACAGCAAGAGGTATTGGGAAACAATGTAAGAGCAATGGGTAAAGCAAATGCTGCCCAACTGAGGCCTTGCCTGGGTGCCTGTGGCAAGAAAGCATCACTTCTAGGCACCCAGAAGTCAGAAAAGCATTTGCAAGTTAGAACCTTTTGCATTTTCCTTTGCTTCTGGAGACGTTCCGATACAGATATGTTCAATCTGGAAGGCTAGTAATTTTATGGATAAAAAGAGGGCTGGCCCACACAGCAGAAAAATAAAATTGCTAAGCATCTCTGTATTTGGGGATGCCATTTGCCCATGGCTAGAAGGTGGGATGATGTGTAATAAAGGAGTGGTTTTAGCTCTGTATAAGGCAGTACCAGGTTGAAGATTCTAAATACCCCTAAAGGGGAATGAGGGTCCTGGTAACAACATTCTAAACTATGGATTATTTTACATGAACAACAAAAAAGTATGCTCTGTATCTGAGGTCTATAAGTATACGTGGTTTTCAGTGTCTCTGAAGAACAGAGTTATAATACTTGATAGGACGTTTGGGATATTTAAAAAAAATGGAGTAAGGAGTTATTTTAATTGACTGGCTTTGCCCTTCCATGGTTTTCCTACAGATTTTGTGACACTGTTTGTAAGTTTACACACCAAAGCCATTGGAAGATAAACTTAAGTTTCTGTGTAAAAGCCAGAAAGGATTGCTGCAGCTCAAAACCAGTTAAACCAGCAAGATATAGTAGCCTAGTTTTACTGGAGAACACTGTAGCAAGATCACAGTGACAGTGAGAATGAGCAGTTGCTTGAAAGGGGAGCAGAAGATTCTGTGAAAGTTCTACAGACCACCCAAGGAAATCTTCTTCCAGCAATTGCCCTCATTTAAGAGGAGTTCTGAATGCACTGCATTGTGTAAAACCCCATGCCCACAGAACTATTGTCATATCCATGGGATTAAAGAACCCACAAATGTTTCAGCTAAACCAAGACACTGAAGACCCAGGCATAAGCAGGAGGACTGGGGTACAGAAACATACATAAGCCAATGACAAGCTGGTGCAGCCATTTCTGTTTGACAGTCAAGATGCAGGTTTTTCAGCTTGTAAAAGATGTATGCAAAGCCATGCCACGGAAGAAGCCAAACTGTGAAGATGTTATTCAACATGCTAGGAGAAAGGGTTGAAATGCAGGAGACAGCTTTTCCCTTTTCTCTCTACAACAAGATGGCCAGGTTTATTGGCACCTGCTAACATCTGTCCACCACCCATTTTTTAAGCAAATTAATTACTTATGGCAGCGTGGATTGCCAGGAAACAGGTTCCTGTGGGTGCAGGAAACTATGGGCTCAAAGGAGTTGCTTAGTGTGTTGCCTTACACTCAAGACTTTGGGACAGGTTCCTTGTCCTTTGCCATATGTCCTACAGCACCCATTTTTTGATGGAGCTCATGGTTAAAGGTAGAACTCCTATCACGCTGGATACTATGGCTACCAAAATGGGTATCCCAAAAGCACAGCTGTATGAGAAATGGCCATTATGCCCCCCTTTTCTAAGCCACACGAACTGTTCTCAATCAGAAGTCTCAATCAAACTGAGCAGCTGAAACCTCCAAACCACTGGCACCAGTATCTAAGGCCTGGAGAGTTCCTTCATCATCTCCACAGAACCTTCAGAAATGCTTTTACGTATCATGTTTCACTTACTTTTTCACTTTTATATATTACATTTCACTCACTGCTGACAGACAGAAGTAAAAGATATTTTTTAAATAAAATTATCTGCTAGGTTAGTATTCTTTTTTAATGAGGTGGTTAATAAGCTGTCCTGCTCATAAGCCTACAAAGCCAGTTATGCACTCCTCAGCGCAGCACAGACAAGTCTGCTTCATAAGACACCAGAACTGTCAGCCCATATACCCAAGAAAGAAGGCTTGCGTGCTCTGGGCAGCAACTTCGAGCAGCATACTTGCAATAGCACAATGTACTCCAGCTGCTTACTGAGAGAGAAAGCAGGATGGAGGAGGCTGTGCTCTCCCAAGATGAAGACTAGGCAGCAAAACCCTCAGGGTGACATGGATTTGCTGGTGGGAAGAAGCAATCTGTACGTTTGTGATGGGTAAGAATGCCAACTGGGGAAAAAAGGCAATCCTGAAACATGACAGAGGCAGACCCGGCTTAGAGGATATAAATTAAGGAAGTTTGGCAAGCCTCAGATAAAGGTTCATCTAGCAACTCTTTCCCCCATCTATCTCAAAAAGGCTCTGTGGAAAGGAAAAAGAAATATGACAAATACGGAGGGACTGAGTCAGAGAATAAGAGCAGGAATAAGCAGATGGCAGGAAAGAGAGCGAGACCAGAAGAGAGCTAGGACAAGAAATAGCGGCTGCAGCACCTGCTTCGCATGCGAAGGGCCCGGGTACAATCACTGGCACCTCCTGGCCGAAACCACGGACAGCTGCTGCAAGTCAAAATGTACAGTGCTAGGCTAGACAGACCAATTGAGGGTCTGATTCAGAACAAAGCAGCTTTCTGTGTGTGCTCCATGACAGCACAGTGGATTTAAGACTTGTTCTAAGAGGAGGGAACAGAGCACAGAGTTAGGAGCAAGGGAATGAGACAAGATACCAGGAAATGCATGCACATGACTAAATAGAAGGGAGGTAGTTCATGTTCAGCGTTCCACTACAGATGCTTGACAAGAGATAGGACTGTAGGGCAGGGCAGTTGCTCCTCCACAGCGGCCCATCCTTAGTCTTCCGAACACCTTCAGAGAAAGATAAGCGGCAAAGAAAACCTCTAAGCGGGAGGGGCAATATGCCTGTAAGAAAACAACTTGTCCAAATACACCTCCCAAAAGATACGGCCATTTGAATGCTCATTCCAGGATGTTTTGCCAGCTACTATTTTCAAAACAATTTTTATCTGCTTATACAAAGAGCAACTTCATGTTTAACAGCATGCCCCTCATTAACTCTTTGCCAACAAGGAATGTGGCTCTCCTTGGATTAGTACTGTGTCCGGAAGAGACTTATTCATTTAAAGCAGTGAAATCCATGAGTTTTATAACAGTACAGGGAAAGAAGGCTAGAGTAGAGTGCAGGCCATGTATACCCAGCTTGACAGCAAGGCTAAAGAAAAGTTTGGAAAGACATTCCTGACACCCCCCTCCCCGCATGGCCACCTGATGCTGCAGCAAGTACTGCTGTAAACACCCCAGCACCAGCAGTCTGTATAACCATTAGGAAATGAAGCTAAGGCAGATGCGAGAAGTGCAACATGAGGATTCAAATAATAAAAACCTACCTTTTGGGGGATGCAATGCTGCAAAGAGGAGGGAGCAGCAGATATGGAATTGACAGAACAAGAAGGCACAGGGAGGGAGACAAAAAAGAGAAATCAAGAACAGATCAGCATTTCATACACCCCCACCAAGGTGGGTAGAAGAAACCTACAGAGAAACACACAGAATAAGATTTAGATCAAACAAAAATGAGGTTGAAGAATAGTTAAGCATTCAGCACTCAGTTCGAAAATGCTTTTCTGTTGCCTAAATTCTCTGATCACATTTTTAATGCAGTGTTTCTCCACATAACTTCTAACTGCCCCTTCTACTTTGCTCAGATACTGGGATTTATTTATTTTTTTGATGCACATGGAGTGTCAGTAGTGCCTCTGTAGACTATAATAAAATGTGTCTTATTCATTCCTTTTAGCAAGTCACTGTAGAAGGTTGTAGAAGGCAGTATGGAAAAGAACCAACAGTTTCTAGACAATGGCTTATCTTTGGGTCCTCACCCCTGATAATTTGAGAGCACTGAGAGTGTTAAAGGTATTATTTTGTTGTGCTGGGCAAGGATATCCATCTGCCACAAGCATTCCTTTCCTTGTTGTTAGCCCTGTTCTTGCTGAAATCCCAGCAAGCAAACGCTTCTACATTTCATTGCTTTAATAACATTCATACACTTTCAGACTTTTTCACTGAAAAAATAACTATCTGTTTAAAAATGAGGCAGGATTTTATAAGGGCCGTACTGACTGATTTTATCCTAGCAATTTTTAAGCTGAAAAGAAGGAGCATCTTGTGCTGCGACTAAACAAAGCACAGCACAGTGTATGAAACTGTACTTTAAGTAATCAGACAGACTGCGCAATATACAGGCTTGGAAATAAACATTGTACTGATTGATGGTTATAAACTACTACATTGCACTTGTAGAGGTTTTGCCTCTCCAGCAATACAAATAACTGGGTGGAGTATTGAGCAATAAAAAGCTTGAACCGTGCCAAGCAGTGGGGCTTGGCATGATACCTTCACCCCAGCCCTGCACCTTTGCCTGCTCAGACCTTGCTGCAGCCCCATCTCAAGTCACTGACATCCAAGAAGATGAGCTAAAAGTTGTAGATTTGGATATAGCTGTGTCGTGACTTGACCTGATCACAGCCCAGGTATTTCTGGCTTAAGATTTGGGGCAGGTGGCATTCCCAACGGTTCAGCAAGGTGATTTTCCTTGCAGCGTTTTGCACTCATGAAATAAGCTAGTGAGGTGTAGTGGTTAACATGTCGAACTGGGACTTGGGAAACTTGGGTTCTAGACCTCACTTAACGATGAAGTTCTCAGCGTAACCCATCGCACAGGCTTGCTGGGAGAATACGGTGGCAAGGAGGAAGAGGATTGTGTAAACTGCCTTGGGTTCCCTGCAGGAAAAGGGTAAGATTTAAATACAATAAATACATGAGCCATGATTATCGGGCTGCATCCGAGTGATTTGAAATTTTACATTTTTGGGCAGTCAGCAACTAGGAAGCACTTCCTCCACTCAAGTTTCTGAAATTACAGAACACCAGCTGCTTTTCAGATTAAAAAGCAGCAAGTTCCCATGCGTCTTCTTGGCCCTTGGCCTTGTCCCACTTCTAGAGATAAATGGAACGTGCAAAACATGGCCCCAACCCTCTGAAACAGTAACAGTGCCTTCAAGAATGGAGAGGCTTTTATGTATTTAGGAATACTCTGCAGTACTGAGTACTTTGGGGATATTTTGATCAAGGGCCACATGCACATTGTCCAGCCAATTTTTCCATCCTTTCAGCCATATTCCTCTTGATTCTACCCCATCCTTGCCCCATTTCTCTCATTAGTGGACACTAAAGCATCAGGACATTTGACTTTAGGGAGTTCATAGTCATAGTTATACTTTACCAGATGCTCTTTCCATTTACCTAATAGCCACACAGCTTGCACATGAAAACTGTCTGTATTTTCAAAGACCCCTTTCTCCTGCAGGAACTTCTATTGTAAAAGTGATGTACACAAGAAAGAAATAAGAAATTTGATTTCAGGAAAAAAGATCAGCCGGGAAGATTCAATGGGGCAGGCAACAGGAGGTGAAACACATTTGGCAAAACAGTCAGAATTCAAGCTCTCAGAGTCAGAATTCAACAGCTCAGCTCATCCGCTGTTTCTGACTGTAAAGTCTAATTGAGGCAAATATCCTCAAACACTGAAGAAGGGGAGGCAGTAAACATGTTTGAGGGCTTGTAATTTCTAGGCATTCATGCAATTACCCAGCCTGATAGTATTCTATGCTTCTACTGAGTTGCTCTAGCACTACAGAGAAAGTACAACTTCTAGTCAATGCATCTATTCATGGATGTGTTGCAACTATTACTAGGACAGTGGGAAAGATAGTAGGAAGAACCATTTGGGGGCATTGACAAGGTGAACCTTGTTTCAATTTAGCTTACGGTCTTGGCTTGGTATTGCCCCATGCCCTTTGTTCCTTTGCTCCAGTGAGGCTGGCCGTTTCAGATTAATCTTAATTTGATTTTATACTGCACGTTCTATCTGATGAACTCAGAGGACCAACATGTTTATGTGGCCAATCTCGGAGTGAACCATGTGTCATACACAAACATATCTATCAAAACCTTCAAAATCTTAGAAGGCTATGATATTGAGTGGAAGAACAGCAGAAGGGAAGGGGAGCTGGTGCGTGTTCTTTCTGGCTGTTTTCTATTCAAAATCATCTACCCCAGCTGTTTTCCTGCTGGGTATTCACTCCTGGAACTCTATAGGAAGAAAGCAGATGAGGGCAACTTTGAACAGAAAATAGAATCGGGGAGAAGCTAGAGCACCCTCTTTCCTACAGTGCCCAGAATTCCAGACCCTGGTACTGCTTTTCAATCTCCAGTTGCATTTGCTTTCTCTTACAATTATCCTGTGTATTTCACAGTGGCCTCCAAATATAACAGCCCCTGATGCTTTTGCTTTACCTGCCTTCTGGTTCCTTATTTATTCAACATATTTCTATCTTAACTTTTCATTATTTTTAAAATGCTCATGGCAGCTTGCAACACCACACACCTCACATTTTTATAAAATACCAGATTTAAAGTCAGAAACATAGACAAGAAGTTCAGTGGGCCAGCAGAGTAACTTCACCTTTGAAGGCCAGAAGTCTGTTGAAAGAGAAAGATCTTTACCATTTTGGGGGATAGGGAAAAATGTACAGCACAGCTTCCTTTATAGGACATTCTTTGGATATGGCCACAGTCCAGACCCCATTAACATGCCTGGCTGCCTCAGCAGCCAACAAATGCAAAAACTAGACATTTTAGTAGATTTCAGTGAAGGTGCAGGTTGGAGATCATCCATCTCTGAAAGCCCAATTACTAGAAAATAAGCACATATACGCATCAAACGGTGACGCGCATGGTTCCCACAGACCACAGAGGATGTGTATCTGTATTTTTCCTGCATCTGAGGTAACAATGACCACATGCATATCTCCCCTACCCCCATTCTACACTATTCTTTATGTAAGCAAAAGCAACAGAGGAAAAAAGTCACATTACCTCTTCTGCTTGACTGTTATGCCTTTTTGCTGAAGGGCTTTCTCATTGGCCATCTGCAAAAGCTGAATCTCCTTGCGTGAGAAGAGCCGAATTGCGAAAGCTTTCTCTAGCAGTTTCTCGGGCGAGACTGACTTCGCAATATCTCTAACAAAAGCTCGGATGTCCTGCTGTACGTTGTCCGACTCCATTGTCTGCCCAACTCTGACTTTATGGAAGAATTTGAGGAGAGCCAGTGCAACACGGTAAAGCACCTTGTAGCCCTCTACCAAGAATACATCAAAGACTCGTGCAATGTAAGTCATAGGCAGTTCCCCAAAAAGCCAGCGTTGCCAGTCCGAATATACTTCTAGCACATCCTCTGAGACTGCCACCATTAGCTTGTGAGCCGCCTGACAGTATTTGTTAACTAGATCGCCGAAAGTCATGCAAGATGACTCAAAAGCCAAGAACGTCTGGTCAATGAAGTGCTTGGATGGATCATTGCAGGCAAGGATGCGACAAACTTTCTCAAAACACTCTGCTTCATCTCGACTGTAATGGAGGAGAAGAGCCACCACGGATGGCAGAGCTGGGCAGAATGATATGTCTGGGAACTGGCTTGCAATGCATGAAATTATTTTCCTAACTGCCCCAATACCCTCCGCATTCAAACAGTAAGTTGGAACAAGGCTATTATCTACAAATTCTGGAAGTGGAAGTGTGCTGCTGTTACGTTTGCCAACAATTTTCACCACTATGTCCCGGTAGACATGGGCATCTGGAGTCACTGTGCGGCAAGGAATATCATTAATCAGTTTATGATAAACTTTTGCTCTTAAGGAATGATTCTTTGCCCAATACCCTTGCCGAGCCAATTGTTTCAAGTCTTGAAATTCTGTGCTGGTAAGTTCCTTTGCATCTTGGTCCTGAATTGTAGCATCCATCTTATCCCAGTCTATAAAGCGGCTATATTCACCCATAGCTGCCAAGATGATATTTGTGGGATGGCATACAAGCAAGTAACTTATCTGGGCTTTGGAGGACTTACTCTTTTTCCTAGAAGAGAATCAAACATACATTCTTGTTAGTCATAGCAAGGATACAATTTGCTGGAGCAACAATTGATAGATAACACACACACGAAAAAGCTAAGGAAAAAAATCACATTACCTTGTGGGGCTTGATCAGCTGCTCATCTGGAGCTGTTTTAACTAGCAATGTCATTAGGACTTGTACTTCTGGGCTTGGAAATACAAGTCTTAGTGACTTCGCATCCTTCCAAGCTGTAGTTCTGATACCGGAGGATGAGACCACAATGGGGCAAGGACAAAAGTTTATCCCATTCCTTATTGCTGAAGTCAGACTGGTTCACAAATAAGACAGACAATTTGCTGGGCTTTGGGGGCTCAGCTTATTTCCCAGGCAATCTGATGTGCATTTCCAAATTTAACTTGTCACCTAAGAAAAAGAAATTTAGACCTGGTTCACATAATAGTGGCAGTTCTTGGTTTAACCCAGAAATTGCACCTGGAAGTAAAGTGATGAGCCATATATTTGTCACTTCCATTTTCAGTTAGCAACCCAGGAATTCCCTGTTCTTTGATTGCACCTGGGCAATCTGAACCTGTGGGTCAAGCAATCCAAGAATTGCCCATGTTTTCAGGTCTGAATGCCACAAAATAGCCCAGGGATAAAGCCTGACTCACTTAAATGAAAAGAGAATCAATAAGTGCATGGCTTATAACTTTCACCCAGGAATTTCCACTAGCAAATCAACAATTCAGGAATTGCTGTCATGGAATATGAATCAGGTCAATCAGTCAGCTGAATCTTCTGGGATAAAGATTTCCAGAGCCTGGACGCTTTCACTGATAAAGCTCTGATTTTATGTTCACCTACTCTGCTTCAAGCAGGAGCAGGGCTTCCTTTAATAAGAAACATGTACGAGATATTCAAACTCCAAACTATTTTAGGCTTGAAAAGGTCAAACCAACAGTGTGAAATGGGAAGAAGACAATAGCCAACAAAATCAACATTGTACTGGTGCTACATGGTTTGAATACCAAGGCCAGTTTTCTAGCTGCTGCATTATGCACTTTCTGTAATCTACAGGAATGATTAAAACTTCTTCAAAATGGTGGCTAAATCCTTTCCTATCAGTCAGTTAGGTTACTATAGTAAATGTAAAAATAAGATGCTAACTTTACCTAAAAATGGTACCCCTAAAACTAGCCAATCGGTTTAAGTCAGGGGGTTCTAGGGAGATTCTCTCACTAAAGGTCCTATGATAGTTACCTTTGCACCTGCTAGGATTACACTTTAAATGAGGAATTGAGAATACTCTGATAACTACATAACTTTAATCTCCTATGAAGGCAGGGATTGCCTTTATATGGAATGTGGAAAACTATAAATGAAAACATCTAATTGTTAGCTTGGAATCCTATGAAAGGTGTTAGAAGGTATTTCTCACAATTAAAAATGCCAAAATAGTTGTATTTATAGATCTTCAGGGAAAATACGATAGCTTTGGGATCATGCAAACTCAGGAACATGATAGGATTTCACTAATTATTGCTAGCAAAACCAAAGCAAAGCAGTTTAAAGGCTACCTTATGTCATAATAAAATATGTACCTAAGGAACTTCCCTCTTCATGGATCACTGCCTTGTCATGGTGAAGGGCCTTGCGTAGCTCAATGAAGCTATGAGCTATGCAGTGCAGGGCCACCCAAGACGGACAGGTCATAAGCAGAGAGCACGGACAAAACGTGATCCACTGGAGAAGGAAATGGCAACCCACTCCAGTATCTTTGCCATGAAAACCCCATGGACAGTACCAAAAGGCAAAAAGATATAACGCCAGAAGATGAGCCCCTCAGGTCAGAAGGTGTCCAATATGCTACTGGGGAAGAGCAGAGGGCTAGTACTAGTAGCGCCAGAAAGAATGAAGCAACTGGGTCACAGCTGAAAGGACACTCAGTTGCCGATGTATCTGGAGGTGAAAGGAAAGTCCGATGCTGCAAAGATCTAAACTCCATAGGAACCTGGAATGTAAGATCCATGAATCAAGGCAAGCTGGATGTGGTCAAACAAGAGATGACAAGACTGAACATCGACATCTTAGGAATCAGTGAACTAAAATGGACAGGAATGGGTGAATTTAATTCAGATGACCATCAGGTATACTATTGTGGGCAAGAATCCCTCAGAAGAAATGGAGTAGCCTTCATAGTCAATAAAAGAGTAGGAAAAGCAGTACTGGGATACAACCTCCAAAATGACAGAATGATCTCAGCTCGAATCCAAGGCAAACTATTCAACATCACAATAGTCCAAAGTCTATGCCCCAACCACTGGTGCTGAAGAGGCTGAAGTTGACCAGTTCAATGAAGGCCTACAGCACCTTCTAGAATTAACACCAAAAAATGATATCCTTATCATCATGGGGGATTGGAATGCTCTATACGGTCAGTAAAAACTAGACCAGGAATTGACTGTGGCTCAGATCATGAGCTTCTGGTTGCAAAATTTAGGCTTAAGTTCTCCATCTTTGGGTGCAGAGCACATAGTCAATCTAATTTCTGTGTTGACTATCTGGTGACGTCCTTGTATTCTTTTGACAAAATCCCAGACTTTTGTATTTGTCTCTTGAGAAACCAGAGATGAGGTACCACAAGCACAGCTGTCAATATGAGTGGGCTGCATTAATGTGGTGGCTGTGAGCCATGCAAGATAGACTCATTTACCTTGTTTAACGACGGCTGCGCCCAGATCTCTAGGGGTTGCTCCATTTATCCCAAAGAAATCGATACAACCAGATTCATGATTTGGACATGGACATGGTGGGCATGTCATGAGTGGAGCTTGCTGGAGCCAGTGGTCAGACTAGATGGCCGAGGAGGCCCCTTCTGACGCACTCTATGTGTCTATTATGGGGAGCTTGTGGCTACAGGGGGCCAATGAGCCACTAAAAGCACAAAACTCCTGCAATCCCACGATGGTCATAGCAAACACTCTTTTCCAATAACCCAAGAGACAACTCTACACAAGACAAACACAACAAGCTAGCAATGCCTGCACAATGTATGAGACTGGGATTTCAATTGCTCAAGTCAGAAGGTCATTTTATATAGCAACTCTGTCTATAGTATGCAATGAATGGTTTAGTCCCAGAGGCTTCTTTATGGTTTAAATAGTTCTGAAATAAAAAGAACCCCAAACTGTTTTTTTTTTAACTGAAGCCTTGGAAATCCTGTAATGGCCACTCCAGAAATTTATTAAGTCTGTCTTAACACTTAAGTTAGAAGCACTGTAAGTGGTCTTTCACCACACACAAACAAAATAGCTTTAAGAAATTGGGTATGTGATATGTTCTCTATTATAGGTTTGAAATACTAGCTAGATCATGTGCCCCTGGAGAGATCACTATCTCATATTTCTGTTAAAATTATGAACCTTTGCCTATTCAAAATAAAACATGGTTATACTATATATAAATCAGACGTAGCTAAGAGCAACCATTCTAATCAAGATAGATCTAGCCTCTAGTTGAATATTAATCTGGATATTTGAGATTAGTTTCGATATGAAAATATCACTCTTTAATCCCACCCCATTTTTCATGACAACTCACTGTAGTACTTGAACTTAATTTACGACACTAACAACTTTCACAGAAATAAGTGACTCTTGTCCCCTTCATTAGCTTATTCCCCAAACATCCTGTGTCATCACCCAAGGAAGTTCTCTCACACACAGTTCTCCATACACCCCCCGCCTGTCCATCAAAAGAGGAGTAAAGGGCACGCTGGTGCCCATGGGCCCAACATTGCTTATACCCAGGGCAACACACACCCAGATCTGTACATACCTTTGGCATAAATATTAATACATTCGAAAAATGTGTGAACTATAAATCCAGAATGGCAAGACAACCGTCTTTGACTGTGCTTTTATTACACCCTCCTAGCAAACACACATTTATCACTTTTTCACAGCATTAAAGCATTATGTACATGCATGAATTGGCTATTACGGTAAAATAATGACACACACACACACCTTCTGAAGCAACGCTTTTCAAGTGGCCTCAGTTCACACTTTCAGGACCATTTCATACCCTATAGGTTTTAGATGATAAGTAGTTTTAAGTTGTACCTTAAAATGCAAGCTGTGAACGTCCCAAACACAGGCACTGTCCAGGCATGCCGGTGAGAACTAATGAGTGGTTGTAGCTCTGTATCACATGCACATTTTGGTGGCAACCTGCATAAAATATGGAACTGCACTCGCTTGCAGCTTGTCTTTATCTGCAGAGGGGTTATTATCCATGCTGCTTTGGGATTATAGGAGTTGGGATCATACAACACACCTAGAAGTTACCAAAATGAGAAAAGCTGGAGTAGAAAGTCATCTGACTGGACAAGGTAACTTCTGTAGCGTGTGTAGAGTAAAATACATGTGTGACCCACCCTTCAAATCAGCGTCATACTAATTATTGCTGATGCAGCACATGAGTCCCTCTATATCCTGCCTCCGCACCTACAGACTACATTTTTGGTACGTCCTAGTTGAGCATATAGGTTTACACAGTGCTTTTTTGTAAAAAAAAAAAAAAAGGTGCCAGAACTCATGTCGCCACCGGCAGTAAGCACACACACCAATCCCAAGCCGAGCAGCGGAGCAGTGTCTGGAGCAGCTATCTCTCACGATCAGATAGCAGATACAATAGCAGCCTGCAGGCACTATGTTAATGATGTTTGCTGCTGATCTGCTACCCAAAATCACTTCGTAAAATCCATTGGAAAAAAGGTGCCGGAATGCGTTCTATGACAAAAAAGGCCCTGGATTTACAGCAGAGTGCACATGTGAAAACCAAAGCTGTTGCCATCAATTGATGGCTATTTATATCAGGCTTGGAAATAGCAGCATCTTGAAGACAACTTGTTTATATAAGGTATAAGCCTCTGCAGGTCTTTTGAAGCTCAGTGTCAGAAGTTTTAAACTGTGTATATACAGAGAGAGAGTGGGATAGAGCGCTCGCATGCAGGCAGAGAAAAAAGTAAAACCTCACTTACTGAAGAGCAGAAGCTTCTCAGAGCTCCCAGTCCCCTTTTTTGTTTGTTGATAACACAGATTAGAAGACGACTGAGATGCTGAGAAAGGAAGGAAATAATATTCAGTCCACGGTTTATAAATTGTGCTTACAGGTTTCTAGTAGGCTTCTCTTTCTTGGCTGGCTCAAGAGGAGTCATAACCCACCCCTTAGAATCCTGATGGGCACATTCCCGATAGAGCTGGCATTGCCAAATGCTGGCTGCCACCTCTTGTGTACAGACATTTCCCAAGATGACCTCCAGCACTGGGCAATAAAGTAAAATTCCATTTTCTGCAAAATAATCCAAATGTTGTGATTTTAAATACTATAATGAACACTAGACTTTTTAATCAAGGGGAGGGAGGGGCAGAAAGCTACAGATGCTAGTCTGTGTAAGAGTCAAGTTTTCATCAACTGCGGCACTTCCCTTCTGGCCAACCAGTGCAACCTTAAAGGTATTAATTGGAAAAAAAACAGCTTTAAAAAAGCCAAAATTGTTTTGCTCAATTAAACCAAGGTCCATCTAATCCTTATTCTAGTAGAATCTGATGTGAACATCCTAGAAACATCAAAGCACTCACTCCTGTTCCCCCCAGATTCTAGTAGTAAGAAATTCATTGCCTTTGGCCACAGAGGTTCTATTTCATCTTAACAGTTAAAACTGTACATTTACTTGGAAGCAAATCACAGTTTTCAGTTAAGCTTACTTCCTAGTTGCTGGTTAAGATTGCAGCCTTAGCCTCTCATACTTCTTTGTGGCACAGACTATTTCCTGTTTAGAAGCAGCCATGTCTGGGTGTCAAGAAACCCAATCTATTCCATTTGTAATCTCAAGCACTCTGCAGAGCAGTGCACAGCACTTAATTAGCAACAGAGTTCAGATCTGAATGGATGGGAATTTGATACTGCTTGGCTGGTGGGCTTGTGCAACCTAGCTGAGTTCTCAATTGTCTTAAGTGAAGACTTCTGTCTGCTCCAGATAGTAAAAAGTGGCAGGTTTCTAAAGGGAAGAGATAAACTTTATTTTGCTTTTACTGTTGCAGCAGAAAACACAGGTTCAGTGGCTGGGAAAACAATGGATTCTTATACTAGATATGCATTTTCTTATAGTACAGCCAAGCATCACTGTACAGGAAGCTTTTAGAACAAACCTCCTCTCATTATACTCTGCATTTTGTTTTAGGTCACATGACTAATGTAGGCAATTCTTTCAGTGGGTTAATTAAGTTTTATGAAACCTTCTGTTTGGGCCAATTAAAAAGCCATGTGATGACCATTCTGCACTTCCCCAGAGCACTGCACTACAACCGTGATGCTTATTCTGGCCAGAATTTGTTCATCTTTTAAGGTGCCACAAGACTCTCTTGTTTTAGCGACAACAGATTCACCTGACTACCACTCAGGAAACTGTGATGTTGTTACTTTACACAGTGAGCGACTTGGAGCATGCACTTGACTTTTATTAGTATAAAAATAGTGTAGAAGTGGAAAAGGTTAACATGACCTTCTTCCCTCAACAAGTTTTATTTATCATAATTTCCCCAGTCAGTTTTAAGCTAAGCTCTTGCATTTCTTAGCTACCATTAATGACATTATGAACCTTCTAATAATGCCACAAATCTTAGGACCAGCTTTCGAAATTCTGCTCGGAGGAGGAATTTGCATGCCTGAATCTCTACACAGCAAGCATGATGGATGAAATGCCACTATTTTGTATACTAGTGGCTATTGTAACTTCAATAGCTAGAAACTCCAAAATTGTGCTTATATGTCTGGGACAGACTGAACACTGATATATCTACAGTCCTTTTTTTTTGCTTAAAAAATGGATCATATCCTTCAAGTGAGCAAAGGCCAAAGAGCCAGAAATGTTGGTTCCTAACAGCAGACCAGAAACACAAATTAGCAGTGCCTGATCCTTTTCCTCACCATGGTAAACTACAACAGGGGCTCTGTCAGAGTTTATTATTCGTTTCATTCATTCATTATATTTATAGCCCACCTTTTTTCTTTTGTAAAGAACTCAAAGCAGCTTAGAGCATTCTGCTCCTCCTGCCCCAGTCTGATTTCCACAACCACCACCTTGAAAAAGTAGGTTGGGCTGAGGGTCTGTAACCGGCCAAAAGTCACCCAGTTGGCTCCAGAATGCCTGGGTCCCAGATCCACAGTGGGTCTCACTACTCTACACTGGCATTCTCTTCATTACACTCTGCTTGAGCTGTATGGCATCCCTTATATACCTCACCTCATCTTGCCAGTTTCTTAGTTTACACGTGAATGAACAACGGAAATGTATAGAGGGAGGACTCTTGATAAAACTTCTGTAGAGTTCACATTGAAAAGGATGTCTGTCTTTGCCATAGTTCATACAGGAAACCGTGTCTGAAACGTATAACTAAGTATCCTTACAATTGGCATATATGTTAAAAAACAAATGGTCAGTACTTTGAGGTGTATGAGAAGCCTTCAAATTACTAGTTTTTCTCTGCCACTCTGCTACTACTGCCTGCTCACAGTTTTATATTGACACGCTGTTCTAGATTTGTATGATAGCTGGGAATCTTCAGCTCTAAGCAAATTTCAAAGAGATGTCCCTGGTTTTGTTTACGAAACCCTTGAAGTGATCAGCGAATCTGTAGATTTCTTTATATGCACATGCAAAACTCTAGTTAGGCATGACAACAGGAATGACTGTGGTGCTTTCAACAGATTAGTATGAAAACATCCAATTACTGAACAATATCTTATTGGCAACAAAAGCACTTTTCTCACCTCAGGATATATCAAGCCCAGTTAATCTATTAGATTTAACAAAATACTGTTGGGATTTTTGCAGTGGAGTCCTTCCAACACTGATGCAGGGAGTTCAATAGATTGCCTTAATGAGGTTAAGTGTAGTTCAATATCTCCCTATGACATGCCTTAGGCTCTGTGTACATCAGCACCCGCTTCTTTCATCACTTTAATTGGGTTGGAGGAATATAGGACCAGATAACCAATGCTAATCTAGCACAGGTTTTAGATGATAAACTGATTCTTCCTCCAAGCTCTAACATAATTTTAAAAATCTAAAGTAGTGATTTAGCTGCATCTCTAGCTTAACAAGAATTAGGATAACACAGGTATAAAGCTTTAAACATGAGCAGGGACTGGCCAATCGACAGCCACTTGTCACACTGAGTCGGCTTGTCCAGCTCCGTAAGGTACAGCATCATCTGTATATATCAGTGGGACATTAACTCTGCAATCTACTTCGCATACTTGTACTTTTTGATAGTTTGATTACGTTCTGCACATATACAATAGTGAGAAAGTAACATTTAAATTATGTGGGCATAAAGAACCATTCTGTTTGTTTTTCTTTAAAAATATATCTGGAAATCATTACATGCTGCCAATATGTGTAGTCTTAACAAAATGGTTAGAAGCTAAACCAGGCATATTATAACCAAAATGGTTCATCTTGCTTGGAAATATACAAGCAAGTAGTACATGCTTTTAAACCTCAATGTGTGGCTGAATATCACACATTGCAAGCATTTCTGCCAAGATGGTTTCTTTTGTGGGACCTTGGACCTTTTGTTTATTTACCACTATCAGTTCTGAAAAATCTCAAAGCATCAATGGATAAGAAGGCAGACAGTTCTGGAATTAAAATCTTTTGCTCCCATGGAAAAGAATGGCATATTTGATAAGCAAGGTCTGTGTCAAACTCACTGCATTTTCTGTACATCTTTAACTGTAGTAAGAAAATACATAGATTGTATGAAAAACAGGAATAGAGGGGCATATGGGAAATACTACAGCATGCAAGTACATATAGCCTGAAGTAGTTATTACAGAAGTAGGAGCTCCTGTAAGGGAAATGAAAATTGTGGGAGCAGCCAGTTAAATTCAGGGCTGGGAAAAGGCAGCAAATTACTTGATCTCACAAAAATTACATGTTTGCACCTAGGAATGATAATGTGTTTCCCAGCCTTGCTTAAATAAATGCATATCTGTTCATTTGACAAGCATTTCAATATCAGACTATTTGCTGATATGTACAAATTGGTATTTGCTCTGGGCATTTCCTCCATCCCCCCCCCCCCGCACTCTAGATATAGCAAAGACTGTCATCCAAAAATCATGAGAAATGATAGCTTAATTGATAACTCATGGATGCAATCACTCTAATTATAAACTCATGGATGCTTTGGAAAATGGTCAGAAAATCTTAAGGGGAAAAAACATCTCCAAAGAACAGCACAAATACCTGAAATAAGTTTTTTTTAAAGTTTGCGGTCCAAGGGACTCATAATCTAAAGTTATATAAAAATTTCATGTCACAGTGTGGAGAGTATAAACATGGGCAGGGTTTTTTCTTTATTCAACCTACAGTTTATTGGCAATTATTGGCAACCTAGCATATTAGATCCAGAATCATGCAATTAAGAAAAACATAAACAGACACTTAAACATGCCTTTAAATCTAGTCAATTGTATTTACACAACAGCCACTCTGTAACTACGAGCAATTCAGAGTGCTTAGAATATCAACACCCTCTCCAGATAACAGGTGGTAACAACTTCACTTTAGACATTACTCATCAGATTCAAGGTGCACAGACCTTTAGCAAATTACCACAATTCTAATACCAAGCAGCTATATATATATATATATGCTGACCACCATTAAAAAGGTAAAGGTTTCCTCTTGACATTAAGTCCAGTCATGCCTGACTCTAGGGGGTGGTGCTCATCTGTTTCCTAGCCAAGGGAGCCAGCATTACCACCATTATACCATAGTAAATTCCATTACATAGGGTGGATGGAGATTGAAGTCTTCTCCTTGGACAACACAAAGTCAGAGGATGCATACATGGTGAGAATGCAAGTTAAATGCCAGTACTACTGTGCAATTTAATCATGGCCATATTTATTCTGGTACTCCCATTATATTTAGTGGGCTTATGCCCAAGTGAATTGATAATGCCTTTGTGTCACAACAGAAAACACATTTTGTCTGCATTCACATGAAAAATCAAAGACTTAAGAGCCCTGTGTACTAATTGCCTGGCGACAGTGACACACGCATTGGTAACTTCCCGGTTAGATTTCTGCAACACGCTGTACGTGGGGCTACCCTTGAAGACGTTCCGGATACTTCAATTGGTGCAGAATAGAGCTGCCAGGCTGCTGACGGGGACGGGGCGTTGTTCTCATATCCAGTTCTCCGTCAGCTCCACTGGCTCCCGATTGAAGTCCGGGCCCAATTCAAGGTGTTGATTATGACCTATAAAGCCCTCAATGGCTAGGGCCCTGGGTATCTAAAGGAACGCTTGCGTCCATATATGCCCTCCCGTCCCTTGAGATCAGCAACAGATGCCCTTCTCCGGGAACCCTCTGTGAATGATATTAGGAGAATGAGTACCCAGAGGAGGGCTTTCTCTGTGGTGGCGCCCCACCTATGGGATGCGGTCCCCAGAGGGGACCACCTGGCACCATCATTATTTGTTTTTTGGCGCCAGGCTAAGACCTGTTTATTTAAAACTTATTTTAAGCGTTAATTTATTATGGAGGATTTTAAAAAAAATTTAAGCCGAGATGCACCGGGTTTTAATATTTTTAGTGTATAAATTTTTATATGATTTTATTTGTTTTTGTTTTTGTTGTGAGCCGCCCCAAGGCTTTGTTGCGATGGGGGTGGCATAGAAATGTTTTAAATAAATAAATAAAAAGGAAGTTAATAATTATTCTCTTTGTCTTTATAGCTGTAAGAGTGGATCTAGCCCTTCTCCCACCACCACCACACCCCCACGCTGGATGTTTATGTCAATTTTTCACAGCCCATGTTTCAGTTCTGTTTAAAATTATCCTCTCAACAGCCACAGCTTTGCTGAAACTTGAACCACTGCAGCACCCATGTTCCCTTAAGGTACTGGCCTTCCATTAGTGGCTGTGAACACCCCAGTGGGTCAAGGCTCACTTAAAGTGCATGGGGGTGGGGGGGGGAGACTTGCTCCAGGTGCAGCACCACTGTTTCATTTTAAAAACAGGAGACAAAGCAGTTCATTTTAAAAACAGGAGACGAAGATGTGAAACAAAGATGAGAGAGAGTCCGAAGCTGGTCATATACAAACAAAATTAGGAATCCAGTATTGTAGGTTGTGGTTAACAGTTCAGCTCAAAATCTGGAAAAGATGAATACTACTACTGGTTATGGGCCTTTTACCATACCAGCACAATATCTAGAACAGCAGCAACAAAGAGGTTAAGAATTAGGTGCTTGCATATTTATAGATTAACTTTATCTGGATGCCTTCCTAAGACGTTTGCTTGTTATTAGGTTTAGATTTCATTTAAATTCCATTTCTGCTGCAAGAAACTCTAAACAGCATACATACCCCCACCCCGCTTTACTCTGACCACAGCAACGGCCCAGCAAGCCTCATGGCCAACTGGGAATCTGAACCTGTTTCCCAGCCTGACACTATGCCACCCTCTCAAACTGATACAAACATGGATTCCAGGCCCTGAGAGGCCGCAGCTCCTTGATGGAGGCAGCCCTCTGCTTATGCTCAAGAGCACCGCTTCGAGCTGACTATTTCCTGCGTGTCACTTCTCTCTTCTGCATAGTGGGGGAGGGAGAAGCCAACAGGAGAGAACGGAGCTCGGCTCAGCTGAAACCCTGCAGCTGCGGTAACAGCACGCCCCATCCCACGCCCCTGGCCCCCTCGCCCGAATTCCCCCACAGAAGCCCCTTCCCCAAAAAGCTCCCGCACAAAAGCTAATCAGCAGTCGCTTCCTCCTGAGCTGCCCCGGCTCATCCGACACCTCGACTTTGCCCTCCAACCAGGGCAACAGGTAGCCCTACGCCCCCCCCCTCCCGTCCCTCAGCGCCCAAGCCCTCTTACCTCAGCCCCACTTCGCCTTATTAACACCTTAACCAACCTGCCAGATCCCCCGCGCAGGCGCACTTAATATACATAATCTCCCCTCCCCTCCCCTCCCTGCGCAGGCGCTTCGTTACCCACCGAGCTGCCCACTTAGACGCGCACCGTCCCCTCCTTTAGCGCGGCTCCAGCTGCGACAGCGAAGACGACGAGAGCCTGGGACGCATGCGTAGAGACGAAGTGTGTCTGCGTGTGCGTGGGGGGGGGATCCCTCCCAGACGGAGCACGAGACTTCGCGCGTGCGCGCTCTCCCTCTCGCGCTCTCTTTTTTCCCTCCCCGCCTCCCCCCCGCTCGCCTCAGAGTGCGGCCCGCAGCCAGGTGAGGGGCGTAACGGCTTTCACGAAACTTGGCGGTGCTGCTGTGGGAAAGCCGTGATGGCGGCCGCACATGTATAACGGGAAGGTGGGGTGACGCCTAAGTGAATGGGGCCCCTCAGCCAGGGCAGCTTTTCCTCTGAGCTTCCTGGGCGCTGTCCGTGGTCCTGAGGTCCGACTCAAATCAGGTTCAGCACCATGGACGGCGCCGTTAGGACTCTGGAAGAAAGGCTGCAGTGGGTAAGGGGGCTCCCCTGACAGAAACCACCAGTTTCCTCTGTATTCAGACTGCAGGATTCCTCAGAGCCAGGCCTTTGGGGTGTGCCCAGATTTTGGAGGGCTCGCCTGCTTGTTCCGAGTGAGCAGCAGCAAAGCGTGAGGGAGCTGCAGACACACAAGGTATGAAAGCTGGCCTTAAGCAATCGCCAATGTTAGTCCTGCTTAGAGTATACCCATCAAAATGAATGGGGCTTAAGTTAGGGAAAGGGGCAGAGAGTAGAAAAACACTAGGGGGCTACTGCTTGTGTGAAGTGGAGTGTGTGCACAGACAAGAGGACAAAGAAAACATGCAATCTCATACCTAGGGGAACACACCCGCAAACCCACCACCTCACCATGCATGTTAGCCTGCTGATTAATCATGACTCATGTAAAATCCATTTTTTCAGTGGGTGTATTTCAAGTAGGATAACACTGGATACTATGCATGGAGTCCATCACAACACAGCTGTTAATGGATGAGCTACACAAAAATCTGCAAGGATGCAATCCTAGCACAATATCCAGTTGTGTCATTCTGCTAGGGAAAACTAGGTTCTGAATCATGTGGAGGAAAATGCAACTAAAGTTACTTTTGTGTAAGTGCAGTTGTGCAAGCAGATGCACAACCAGAAGAATCACTGGAGCTCTGCTAGTATTATGTTAAGTTTGTGGAAGGATGCCCATTGGATCCCACCCTAATGTATGCTTTGCCAAAGGTACTTACAACTCTGGGTATTGCTCAGTCAATATGTTGTTGGGCTCATTTTCCTCCTGCCTAAATGTGTGTATGATTACACTGTAACAATAGGGAAATCTTACATTCAAAACAAAAAAGAAAGAAAAGAATAGGGAATGAAGAAGAAAGGTATCACTTTTTCAAATTACATGATTGATCTTCATGAGTAAACTATTGGTTGTTATGGACTCCTATGTCCTATACCAAGAGGCACAGTAATTTAGTCCTCTTCCTTCAGTTTTTACCAAGGGATACCTAGGGTGCAATCCTGTGGCCTGCCTCACAACAATGTCAGGGGGCTGTGGAATTCTCGGGGGGGGGAGGGGTATGCTTGGAGGAAGCAAGGAGATGACATGAATAGGATGCAGTAGGCCTGGAGATGTGCTTGGTTCAGCCTCTATTGCACTGGGATGGGAGGAGCATCGCTTCCTTACAGTCTTTTTATGGCAGGGCTCATATGCCTTTAACATCTGGTGAATACTTTCCATCACTGCATCTTATGCTTGCAAAAGCTGCACTGTTGAAACTTCTCCCTCTCCTTCTCTGTGATCCATGAATTTTCTCCTTGCATATGAACAACTTGAACAACAACAAAAACCTTTGTGTCCCCTAGCACCAACAAAAATCCTAAATTAAATCCTGCTTGAACTTCTAAAGGCCCAGTTAGATATAAACGAGGTGTGGTGGGAGTGGATTGAGTTCATGGTACTTGAGGGAGGGTGGGTTACTGTGTTTGCCTCTAATGCTTTTTGTCACAGGGGTGAGGCTTTGAGGATATCTTATTACTGCTGTGTTAAGGATAGAGGTCTAGTTCAATGAACACTAAGCTGGCATGACATCAGAAATGGCATCTCAGTCTAATGTGCTGTGTGGAATTTCACAGCACATGTTTACTGTATAAGTTCTGGAGAGTGTAACGTACCTTACTCAAAAGTAACTGCTTCTTGGATATTGTCTCAGTGATTGTAACTGGCAGACAAAATGGGAAATGCAGGGAATGTGAGACCCCTTGTGGAGACAAGAAGGAACTATTTACTTTTACTGAAATTCTAACACCTATAAACAGAGATAATCATGCATCACTTAAAGGAGACAAAAATGACAGTAGTCCATAAATATAGAAAAACACAAAATATGAAATGGATCAATTCCAGAACAGGATCCACAGCCTTGAGTTTACAGGGTCAGAGCATGACATGACCCTTTGGAGGGCACTCATTTATAGGGTTGCCATAAGATGACTTGATGGCATATAACAATAAAAGTCAACAGGGAGTGGGGAGTATGACAGCTGATAAACCTGATCAGAATGACTAATATTGGTTAAGTCAGAGAGAGATAAGCTGTCAATGTGTTTGGACAAAAATGAGCAACTTTCTGAAATGATGAAGTACAAGATATTCTATTAAAATTGCAATATTGAATCAAGCTCTTTCTTTGCGGGGGGCTTCTTCAACACATGTACTTCAAAGTGCAAAATTGTGCAAAATCATTGAAGTTGAACCTATCAAGAAGGTCAACTCTATCTGTCAGGACTTAGAATACAGATAATGGCTTCCTGTCCCACGATATATCATTACTTAATAAGCATCAAAAACACAAACTTCACTGAAATTTGTGCACTAAATGTTTCATTCCAGTTTGTACCACCACAGTTTCCCCCTGCAATATTCATGTATTGCTGACTAAGAAGAATGCTTCATGCATCTGGTGAACTGGACTCTGCTTCATTAAAGTTTATGTCACAATAAATCTGTTAGTTTTTTAGGTACCTCAAGGCTCTTTATCTAGCCATCACATACTGACATTTTTAATAAATAATAAACCTTTATAATGGATGGTGTATGTCTGTCTGTCAAAGTCATAGCGCCCAGACCAAGAAACCCAGACACCAGAAATTTGCCATGCATACCTAGATGAGTGCATCTCAGGGCTATTAATTTTTTAATTAATTGATGTTAATTAATCTGAATGTGTCCACATATTCAATACTTGCAATGCCATCTCCAGTCACTAGGTACTTCTGCAAGCAGTACATAACTAAAAATGAAGTCGGGGAGAGTAGTATTTCGAAGGACACAGTTATTTGTCCGCCCCCTCTTCCCTCCTATGAAGCAGTTATTCCTCAATTGGTTATAGGGGCATATTGTTGCAGGGGGTGTCCCTAGGGATGCTAGCAGGCATGGTTTCACTCAGTTGACTGGACACAATGGCTCAATTCACATGAGCACAGGGAGGTTAGTAAGCCATGATGGCTTGTTAACCACCCTGTATGTGCTAGTTGCATACCCCCCAGTTCACATACTTGCCCTTGCAGTATGTTGCTTGTTGAGACATCCAAACCTAGCAACAGTAGTTGGTTGGGCTTTTTTACCATGCTGTGTGAACTTCGTCAAAGTATCCACCTGCAGAAGCTTCTTTGAAGGCTTTGTTGGATCATGTTGTGGGCTATCCCAACACATGAAAAGCTTGGCCCTTTCACTGGTTAGATATTAAAATGGCAGTGTTGGAGCTAACAAACCCTGTTCAAACAGGCAAGAAACAGATTCCCGGACAATGAAATGTAGCTCAAGATGTGGGGCTATGTAGATAGAAGTGTCAATTCCCAGTACCATCCATTAGTTTGATGCATTGAAATGGGCAAGAATCTGCTTCCCCTTAAGAAGCCGGGGTAACCAAAGCCAGATGTCAGATCTGACCTCAATTCCCATGGTATTCTGGAGTACACACTTTCTCTTTTCTTGTCCAAATAAATCGTTTTTGATCTTTACTTCTGTGGGGAAATATAAAGTGTTACTATTGCAGTTTGGGCAGAACTTAATTTCCACTGCTGATATTGGTTTGCTGTGACCAGAAGAATGGGACCTCATAGAAGAGATTCAGTAAACAAATAAAGTTGGTCCTACTGTCACCTATTTTCTAGAAGTGCAATGGGGTGGGACCTGAGACAGAAAGAGTGGTAATTCACTGTGGCCATATCCTCTTCCTCCAGGAAGGGGTGCAACTGGCACATTCTCTGAAGCTTGGTACAGCCATTCTGGCTACAGTAGCCAAATGCACACTTGAGAAGCAGTGCTTGGTCCAGAAGCATTCCCAAGTACAAGTCCATCTCAAACAGTTGTACTCACAATTCTGGATTCATTTCTGACCATCAAAACTCCAGTCTTATCTAGACAGAGTCTCAGCTTCTTAGCTCCTATCTTATCATAGAGTCCCAGAGTTCTAGAATGGTAGAGTTGGAAGGAGTCAAGAAGGCCACCAAGTCCAAACCCCTGCTACTAGTGCAGGACACTTAAGTTACACCCACCTACTGAGATGACTGTCCAGTCACTTCTTGCATGCCTCTAGTGTGGGAGAGTCTACAACCTCCCTGGGTAATAGGTTCCATTGTTGAAATGCTCTGACAGTGGGGAAATTTTTCTTGGTTTCTAGCTGGAATTTGGTTTCCTGTAACTTAAATTCATTATTAATTGTACTGCACTCTAGAATGGTCAAGATGAGATTTTGTCTTTCCTCTTTGTGACAGCCTTTCATGTACTTGTAGAGTGCTACCATATCACCCCTCAGTCTTCTTTTCTTGAGGCTGAATATGCCCATGATTGCATCTGCGCAATAGTTAAAGATTTCTACATATTCAGTAGAACAAAAGTTGAGTGGAAAAGGAAGATATTTTGAG